ACTTTTTTTGAAAATATGTCGTTGCATGGATATACCTAATGCAAATTAAACATTTCCAGTTGATGTTTTTCTTAAATAAGAGGCGATCTGGCGCTGGAATGTGTCTTCACACAGACTAGTGTGTCAAACTATCGCTAAATGCCGTTGCAGACTCTCTATTATTTCCGGCAAAATCACTAACAAAATGCACACAAAAGTGTCCCTGCTCATGATATACATTGATTGATGAACATCTTTGATTTTGATGAGAAGAAAAAAAGCACTGTATGAGGGCGTATTAGGCCCTGTTCCAAATGGCACACTTCATATGCACTTTCGGTCTTGTAGACTTATAATGGCTGCCGTGTTCGCATGTCCGTTAAAGGGATAGTTCACCCCAAAATGAAAATTCTGTCAGTAATTACTCACCCTCATGTTGTTCCAACCCCGTAAGACTTTCGTTCATCTTCAGAACACAAATTAAGATATTTTTGATTAAATCTGAGAGCTGGATCACTCCTCCATAGGCTTCTAAGGGATCAAAACTTGCCGGCCCAAAAGTTATGAAAGACATCGTTAAAATAGTCCAAGTGACTACAGTGGCTCAATCTTAAGTTTTTCAAGCGACGAGAATACTTTTTGTGCGCCAAGAACAAACAAAAATAACAACTTTATTCAACTATTCATTTCCTTCTCTGTTGGCGTCGAGTTAGTTCACGTAGTGTAACTGCGCAGCGCTTCTGTGTTAGCCTACGTGTGACGTACAACACAGAAGCGCTGCGCAGTTACACTATGTGAACTAACGAACTAACATGTCCATGCAGAACATGGACATTAACCCTCTAGGTTTGATTCACATGCAGTATGAGCTTGAACTGAGAATAACATCATCTTAATGGGTTACTGATCTCTAATCTGTATTGTTGCATTCAGGAGAACATCTGGATTTAAAATCTTACACATGGAAGTAAATTAGAAAGTGTGTGCGTAGATATGCAAACTTCAATCACGTACCCAGAGCTGCCACCCCCAGTGATGGATCCTCCAGTTACACCTGCAATCTGGCCTGATGTTAAACCTTCTGGTTCTCCTGAGGGTTCACTGACAGAGCTGTTGTGCTGAATCTGTGTAGTGGACAGATCCATGGATGTAGAGGAAGAGAATAGGCTTGTGTGTGTGGAGTCAGACTCAGTGCTCGCAGACATCCTTGCAGTTGTTCCAGTGAAGTTCTCAACACTGTTATCTGCACAGATATCTACGTGCATTGAGATTCACACATAACCACTTACAAAACCCATAAAAAAAGCAAACTGAACACAGCATGATCATAAAGATGATGTACATGGCTCAAATATTAGCCAACAAACATCAAGATCACCCTGGGATAATTAATCTAAAAAATAAATACATTTGAAAACACATTTTCGGTAAATAAGTTAATAAATAAAAAAACAACAACCTGGTAACACTTTACAATAAGGTCTCATTCATTAACATTAGTTAATCTATCAACTATAACGAGCAATACATTTGTTGCAGTATTTATTAATCTGTCTTAGTTAATAAAAATACATCTATTGTTTGTTCATGTTATTTCACAGTGCATTAACTAATGTGTTAACAAATATAACTTTTGATTTTAATAATGTATGAGTAAATGTTGAAATTAACTGTTCATTCTGAGTAAGTTTATTCTTAATTCATATTAACTAAAATGTATTGTTATTGAACAGGAAAGGTTAAAAAAAATTAATTTAAATTATAAAGGTATATTGTTTGACACAAAATTACATTACTGACCTGAATGACTGGATATCTTGGCACTTTAGTCGCTCTCCTCTCATCTGTCGGTTTTATATTATTCTTTATATCACATATACTATATATAACAATCTGGATCACTATAACCCACCAGATCTGTATACTGAAATTACACTGACTCACCATTTTAAGAGGGTGATGTTATAAAAAGCCCCAGTCTCTCCATGGATTTATTGCATGCAAATTATCCGTGAGGAAATTAACAGGTCATTATTACAGGTATCATATGTCAACATTCATGTCGTGGTATTTTCTGTGATGTTGAAATCATTAGAATCTGACAAAAAAATAAAAACTGTCATGAACTGCTCAGAGACACAAAGGTTGAGGATCCAAAAGCAGTATTTATTAGGAATAATCCACAATCAATTCCAAAAACAGACAAATGGTCAGTCCAAACAATGATATCCAGAACACAGACAAACCGAACAAGAGAAGAGAAAACAAAACAAAACAAACCACCAGAAAACCAAGGCTAGGAAATCAGTGTAACATTAGCAAGACTGAGCAATGAATGAGACAGAAACCAGGGTATAAATAGGGTGAGCTTGATGAGGTAACAAGACACAGCTGATCCGGGCAGTGAGTTATGGGTAATGAAGTCCGAGATAAAAATTGCAATGAACAGGGGAGTGCCCTCTGGTGGCTCTCAAGGGCACTCCAGTATAGGACCATAACAAAAACACTACAATAAATAATTCAAATGTACACTAAGTGATCTCTCCATATTAAGTTAATTTTAATGTTTGTCTGTCATTAATGATAAACAATAATTTATACAAAAATTCCCTAGTTCTTGAGTAGGCTACTGGGAAAAAAACAACAGGCTACAGAAATGCAAAAATTAAGGTTCAAGGAATGATTTTGGATTGTTTTTGATGCAGCTTCTGGTCCCACTTTATATTAAATGTCTTTAACTGATATTTGCTAACATTTAAATGTCATTGGATACAATGCACTAATTGTGTGCACGTTTTTACTTTGTAGCCTAATTATATTTAAAAAAAATAAAAAATACTTGTATGTAATTACATCTGCAGTTAATTTCAGTAAATACATCTCTAATATCTGTTCCCTTACCCTTAAACCTAACCATATCATACCACCAGTCAGCAGACCTGTCCCTAACCTTGCCCGTATCCCATCTCAATAGCAGCAAAAGTGTTTTGCAATAGCCTACAACATGAACCCAATAAGTTGTACCTAACCATTTTTGTACATTGTAGTTAAAGACCAATATAGAGTGCTTCCTTCTTCCATTTTCTCACAAAATGTTTGTTTTTTTCTTGTCTCACTTCACTCAATAGGGGTTAATAGTTGGATTTATCTTTAATTCTCTTTAATAGATTGGAAAAAACAATGTGTCTAATATTTATTAAATGTTGACATGCTTATTTACTTAAAAGAATGATTTAATTAAGACTAACTTGTTCTTCTGCTGTATCTATAAAATACTACTTAAAATACTGCTACTTTAAATAAGGAGGTGATGATTTAGGCTAATTCAAATTAAATAAAGAGAAATTCTGAAATGGTCTTGATTTGTGTCAAGAATCAACTAAAAAGATAAAGCCATTCATAAAACATTACTTAAAAAACGTATGGCAAGTAAAATTGTGGAACATGACAGGGATTTAAACATGAATTTGTGAATGTACAATATTGAAACAAAAATCATTAATGGATATATAACTTAAGCTCGGGAAGTGTCCCCGTAGGCATATATTGCATGTGATGTTTCTGTAATAGGTTTAATTCTTTATAATGCACTTGAAGCATGAGGAAATCTCGTTGTGTGTCCACATTATTATTAACTTATTTTTTGACACGGTTTATCAGTAAAGACTGTAGGGAAAACTGTGAAGCAGTGGCATGGAAAGGTACAACAAGGAGCATTTGTAATTGGTCCCAGTGAGAGGAAACTATGGGGACTGAAGGGTGGTGGAAGTCACATTCTCGTCTTTCCTAGATCAGCATGAATGGGCAGCTAAGAAGTGGGGGTTGGTTGGTGGGACAGATGGATTAGGATTGTGTAGGCTGTTTGGGAACAAAGGCTCGCCTGTATGTGCACTCAGCACGGTGTGATTGTAGCAACCACAATTCATAAAGTCAGTGATCCTAAAGCTTTTATGACCTTTTGCCCTTTTCTCATGTAGTTAGCCTAGCATACACAAGGAGGCTAGACGACATAAACATATATCTACAAGTTAAAAAAAAAGCTCATTTATCAATTTCAACGAGACATTTTCAGTCAAAAAGACATTGTCCTTGTTGTGTATTTAAAAAAAAAAAACACCGAAAGACTCATTTTAAACGTAAATTATTTAGAAACAGAATTGTCTTGGGGTTGTTAACGGTGAAGAGCCTAGATGGCGCTGTTGTGCGGATATAGTGTAAGTGGAGTCGCTCAATGTAGCTGCGTGCTCTCCAGTGTTGGTGAATCAGTTCGTTCGAACAGTTCATTTTAAAAAAGGTTCAGTGAGTCTTTACGTCATCACGTGGTCCCCAGCATATCCAGTAAAGCCACATATAGGCTAATTTTGATGTTTGAGTCATTAACCTTGAATTAAAACAATAGCATTTTAACAATAGGCCTACTACTATTATTTTGTTTCTCTCCACTGCAAAAAAAAAGCTATTAATTAAACCAGCTGTTTCGTGAAATAACAGCATCTTTTAGTAGGCCTAGTAGCATGTTATTCGGCCTATTAGTCAAATCTTTCGTTCATTCGAAATGCTCTCAATATCAGCTCACGATGCTGGATTGATTCAGTGAGCTGTTGATTCATGACCCGTTCTTGTCAAAGCAGATTTCTTCTTCACAATGTAGCCTAATGTTGATTATTTTTATCCATTTATCCATAAATATTAAGTGTTTGAAGACAAAACCCTATTTTTCTATATTTTACAAATATTTTGTTTGTAACTATTTTCAATAATTGAATTAACAGGCCTGCGAATTGTTGGGCTGATAGGAGACTTAAATGTATTCGTTTTTGTTCACTTGTACACGTTTTCCTTTTCACGGTTGTAGCCTATTGATTAGCCTTGATTTTTTATTCATTGATTAGCAGCACGTATGAGTAGTAGCATAATGTATATCGTGTTCAATAAAAAAGAACCGCTCAGACAGCTCAGTCCGGTACGTGAACACATCATTTTTTTTGTGAACCGGTTCAAATGAATCATAGAAAAGATCCGACTCAAAAGAACGATTACGTTCACGACTCGGCCATTGCTGTTCTCCAACTCTAAACCCGCCGCAGGAATGAGCAACGCTCGCCGAGCAGCGGATACGCGGCCGTTCTAAACAAATAGCCTGTTTTAATCGTTCCTGCGGACGTTTATGCAAATTCGTATGACTGACAAGTATATATCACATGCTAACGTGGGTCGTCAGTTCACTAACCTTAACATGTAACAGAATACTCGCTAGTCCCGGCTTGTGAAGCAGGAGTGAAGAGCAATCAATCACCGGACACCACCGTTATTCGTGTTTGTACAGTACAGTGAGCGCTGCTGAGGCAGGGGAACCGCTGCGCTAATGCTTCCCTGACCACACCGACTCAGCGCTGCTATTTTAACGCGGTATCTTGTTTTCGACCAAACATCAGATCAGGTTTTATAGCGGGACAAGATGTTGCAAGTGTTGATTTGCGGCGTTGTGGTCTTCCCCGGTCTCTTCTTCACTTTTAGAAAAGTGCTTCCGTCCATTTTCAAGCAGTGGACAGATGCCGACGTCGTGCTGGTCAGCGAGAGGTGAGTTTGGTGACAGTTGAGCAGTTCGGTAAGGCCAGACAGCTCTTGTATTATCATGTGCTGGTTTACTGCTGTTTGGTAGTAAAACGAGTCTCACTGTCAGTTTGAAAGGTCGGGTTTGCACATTTCACAATAATATTAACATAAAAAAGCTAACTTGATGGAAACGATCATACCAGCTGTTAAAATGCAGATGCAGTGTTTGCATCTTGACCTGTAGCAGGGGCTTCACAGACTCAGGGACCCCCAAACAGGCTCTCAGCCAACCAAGGGACCCCGGTTTTCAATATCTATCCAGGACCTTGACAGATCCCATGGGCACCTGGTTAAAAACCCTATACCACTTCGAGTGATAGATTTATATGTTGAGGCTTGTGTGTTAAAGGGATCAATTATGTTTATAATAATCAGACTATGTTGTGCTCATGTTATCCTATGATATGTTCAGCTGATCTCATGACCTTAATTACTCCCTTATCAACTCAGCCATGGATAGTCCATGGAGAATGAGCATGAATTGACCAACTTCCAGAAATGCACAGACCTCTTCTATATTTCCAGATTTCCATGCAAACAAGCTTGGGTTAAATAGGTCTTCAATGATCTGATCTGTACCTGAAGGCAGATCGCTACAGACACATCTGGGTAATAAACCCAGTACACACAGTCAACTTTTAACCACTAGTGTAAGATATTCTCAAACTCAACATCTGAAACTAGCCACTATTTAAAAATTGCAAATGAGGGGAACCTTTATCTGTGGTCATCCATACATGCATTTTTTTTTGCAGATAAGCAGTTTCAGATCAGTTCTGGGTGGGTTCAGCATAAATAGTCATTGACAGTAGTTTTGCGCTCTTGTTAGCTTATACAAGTCACATTTATTTATATAGTGCTTTTCACAATACAGATTTTTTCAAAGCAGCTTTACAGAGATAACAGGAAAATAATGCAAAAAAGTTTGTTTCCAGAAGAAAATAGCGTCACAGTCCAGCTTAAAGGGTTAGTTCACCCAAAAATGAAAATTAAGTCATTAATTACTCACCCCCATGCTGTACCAACCCCGTAAGACCTTCGTTCATCTTCGGAACACAAATGAAGATATTTTTGATTAAATCTGAGAGGTGGATCACTGCTACATAGGCTGCCAAAGGGAATGATACTTGACGGCCCAGAAAGTCATTAAAAAAAATGTTTAAATATTTCATGTGCCTACAGTGGCTCCACTATAAGTTTATCAAGCGACGAGAATACTTTTTGTGCGAAAAACAAAACAAAAATAACGACTTTATTCGACTATTCCATTGCTTCCTTGTGGGCCTGAGACGAGAGTTCAAGAGATTTCCAGGACGCATGCGCGAGAACTGACATTCTTCTTCTAAATGATCACATTCATCAAATTTTTCCTAACGATTCGCTAGCTGCCCGCCCCATAAGCAGGCTGTCAAAAAAACGCGTCTCTGTAGGCAGCCTGCCCGCCCCTGTCGGTGATTGGTTGGAACACTGTTTATTTTGGTTTTGAGTGGTGGTTGTACCCATTTGTTTTTGTGTGCAGATCTCAGAGCCTAGGCTGCCTACAGAGACGCGTTTTTTTGACAGCCTGCTTATGGGGCGGGCAGCTAGCGAATCGTTAGGAAAAATTAGATGAATGTGATCATTTATTTTTGGGCCTGAAATCACTGATACAACCTTTAAATATAAAATAAGCAAGCCAAGCCAATGGCAACAAAGGTGGATAAAGGCGACAGTGGCATTATCAACTAGCCAGAGTTTTGAGATCGCAATAGACGTGAAGGACTATAATGCTTTAAGAGCTCGCTCAAGTACCTGGGAGCTAAGCCATTTAGTACTTTGTAAGTAATCAGCAATATATAAAAATTTATACAATGTTTAATTGGGAGCCAATGCAGTGTTGACAGAACCAGGCTAATGTGGTCATACTTCCTGGTTCTACTAAGAACTCTAGCTGCTGCGTTTTGGACCAGCTGTAGTTTGTTTATTATGCGTGCAGGGCAACCACCCATAAGAGCATTACAATAATCTAGCCTTGAGGTCATGAACGCATGAAGTAACTGTTCCGCATTTTTCATTGAAAGCATATGTCGTAATTTAGATATATTTTTAAGATGGAAGAATGCGGTTTTACTAGAAACGTGGCTTTCAAATGAAAGATTGGTATCAAAGAGCACACCCAGGTTCCTAACCGACGACGAAGACTTGAGAGAGCAGCCATCAATTGTTAGACAGTATTCTAGGTTAGTACGTGCAGAGGTTTTTGGTCCAATCATTAGAAACTCTGTTTTTTCAGACTTAAGTAATAGGAAATTACTAGTCAACCAAATTTTATATCAACTATGCATTCTGTTAAAGGGGTGGTTCAGGATTTTGGACATCGGACCTCATTTCCAAGTTAGCCTGGGTGTTATTTATCAGTGGAGACAGTTTTCAAAAAATGTAATCCAGTCCTTCCAGTTGCATAGTTCGCCGGTGCTAGGCTAGCGCGAGTCAATGGTATCTGCTAGCCTGCCATTAAAAACAGTTTTACCCACTCCACAGTACACCAAAAGCAAATAAATTATAACGCCAGACTATCGATGTAAATGTCTGTTGAGAGAATAATGTTAGAAATCAAACTACCTTTTCATCGCATTGCAATAGTTATACTTTGTTCCCTGTATTAATTAGCACAGTCTACAGCAGCGGCGGACTGATATTAAGTTACCTAGGCAACCGAGAGAGGTAGTGAGAGAGAGAGGTAGAGAGAGGTAGTACAGGTAGTACAGGTAGTCCCGACTGTAGTGCGCTTCTGTTCTGTGTTTATTTTTCGGCGCAGTACTACTAACCAGAGTAAAGTAAAATTCCACCGCTGCTGAGAAACTAGTTCCTGTAACTGTAATGCGATCATTGAGTACTTTGATTTCTAACATTATTCTCTCAACAGACATTTACATCGATAGTCTGGCGTTATAATTTATTTGCTTTTGGTGTACTGTGGAGTGGGTAAAACTGTTTTTATAATGGCAGGCTAGCAGTTACCGTTGACTCGCGCTAGCCTAGAACCGGCGAACTATGCAACTGGAAGGACTAGAACAAATGTGTTCTAAATGTTGATCATTAAAATAAAAAATAAAGGTGCATTTGCATCTGAACGGTAGGAGCTTTTTGGAAAATTCTTAATGTCATTTTTAATAATACATCAGGTTCGCGTCTAAATAATCGGTCTACTGCTGCTGATATACCTCTGCGTCCTCTGTCGTCTACACCAGTGCAAGTTTGTGAAAGCAGTTGTATCAACACTCTGAAAGGGGGATTGTTACAACCATCAATACTCCATTAATTTGCAGTTGAATGTCTATAATAATAGTATCAATATGTTGCATAACTACAGTCCTGTAATTCAGGTAACAGGTGGAAAAAAATGCTTTTTTCAAAAACACTTATCTAAATCTCGAAGATCGGATCAGATCGGATCGAATCGAATAATGATAATCAATTCAAGATCTTGAGAATCGGAATCGAATCGATTCTTGAAATTTGAATCGAAACCCAGCCCTAATTTAAACCATGCTAATGCAATTCCACTAATGCCAACATAATTTTCAAGTCTATTAAAAAGAATGTTGAATAGCCAAAAATACATCTACTAAATATAAAATAAAACAAGAGTGTGCGCTCAGCTTTGAGATATTTGGGCTTCATCATTTTATTGCAGAATTTTACATCTATTTGGTTTATTTTTTAATTTTAGCAGTGGCCATAATCCTAGCCAATGCCTATGTTTGCTTTACATGTCTTTGCTTTTTCTGAGCCATCCACAATTTTGCGGTGTTTTATAAAGTTCTATCAGTGTTTGTGTGTTCTGCCTGGAGGTCAGTTACTATTATGGCTAAATGGCAATATTTTGTTTTAATTTTCTTTGACCTTTTTTATTGAGTTCCTGTTGTGCTAGATCAGGGGTGCCTAATCCTGTTCCCGGAGATCTACCTTCCTGCAAAGTTCAACTCCAGCCCTGATCAAACAGAACTGAACCAGCTAATTAAGATCTTCAGGGCCACTTCTATTTTTTTTTTTATATAGCGCTTTTAACAAAGGATTGTTCCAAAGCGGCTTTACAGTGATAATAGGAAATTAAAGTAACAGAGATTGATTTGGTTTTATAGCAGCTCTAGAATAAAGTTATTTTCAAGCTAAAGTTAGTTTTATTGATTCACTTCTGTTGCAACGATCATTAGTTATTAACTTAGGGGCCGCTAACACGACACCGTTTTAACAGAAAACTCTTAAGTTCTCTCTACACAAACTTCAAAAACGCGAAACCGTGAGAATGCCGATGGCGTGCACACACGTATTAAGAGCCCACTCCACAGGTATGCGTGTTTGAATATATGTGCGCAGGCTTCCCTAAAAAAACAACATTCAACAAACTACTTGTCTGGCCTTAAAATTTATAATACAGAATTTTTATCGCTTCGGCGTAGTCACGCGAACCAGAATTATCCCGACAACGATTTATCTGTAGAGAGGTAAGGGATGGGAGGGAGGCCTTCACAGGGGAGAGACTAGTTGAAACTTCAGGACTGCATTGTCGTCGCGTTGCGTTGCGTCGCATCGCGTCGCATCCATCACCAGAAACTTCATCATATCTGGATACGCCGGACTGCGGTAAACCTCGGAATAAACAGAGAGACTAATATTAGCATAGATGCCATTCTTCTTATGATGTAACGAGTACATCAGGATTTATGGGAAGTGTTCCCGGTTCACTTGATAATTACAGGCAGGTGTGTTGGATCTGAACGCAGGGTAGGTAGTTCTCCAGGAACTGGATTGGGCACCTCTGTGATAGATTCTTCCAATCCAATCAATTAAATCAAACACCAAAAATGATGCTGTATCAGCATAAGAATATTCTTAGTAAGGGCTGGGTATCGTTCAAAAAATTTTGATACCGATACCGGTTCCTTTATGATTCTTTATTTCTATACCAATTTTATGAAATC